CTGGGCTGCCAATATTTCTGCATCCCAATTCCAAACAGATGTGTTTCATTGGGGTAAGTTGTCGAAATATTTCTGGGCAAAATAAAAACAAAGAAACACAATGATACATTTACCATCCAGATCACCTGGAGTTTTAAAATGCATTTGTTGGAACCTCCCACAATGGACTATCAATCTGCTTGCATGAAAAGCATACATAGGCAACTAAGGTTGAACTTGCCTTAGAAAGGGAGGCATGTTTGAGAACATCCAGGCTTTCCATGACATGACGTGATTCCAGTACTTTGTTTTACCAAGCTTTTTGTTAATTTGAGATTGTGTTTAGTGTGTCTGTCACTATAAAGCACAACAACATTTAGGCTGTATGGCCATTTACCCAGGGGAAAGTTAGGGCCCTCAGATAAAGGTTAAGCATGGCAATCCTCTGGAATGCACTCTCCTTTGAAAATTAGCTTGATTTGAGTTGAATATGTATGCTTTTCATGCACAGAACTCAAAAATCCATTGTTGCAGGGTTTTCAAAGGAGTCCCCTTTTTTTTAACAACCTCCCACGGCTGAAGACTAAGCAGGAAACTACAGTACATCATTCATCAAACAATGTGGAACAAATTACACATGCCCTCATTAGCAATTACCTGAGAAACCTTCCTTCAGCCTACTTTACACAATAATGACAGCTAATAATGGGTTCCATGACATGGCTGACCTATGAATGACTTCACACAAAGCTGTTCAGTAACCTTTAAAAACATAATTATACCTGCCTTTCCAGTGTACACTATTATTTCAGTGAATGTGAAGCACACAGATCTTGCTATGCATGCCACTTGAATTGGTGGTTATCTTGAATTCTGATAAAACTCACAGTATGTCCACTATGCATAGGTTTGAGCCTCAGATCAGTAGAAGATGCATAGGCACTTCATACTTTCTAGACCTTGTCCAAAGTAGACAAGGATGGGACCTTGTCCAACATGATGATCAAGGATGGGACCTTGTCCAACAAGTCCAATATGATGATCAGTTAAGGAAAATGTAAATGTAACAACTATAATTGAAGTAAATGTAGCAACTATAATTGAAAATATATATCTGCATTTGACACCAGTTAAGTGCAGTAATGACGTACAGTAGAACAGAAATGGGAGACCCATGTGGCTGCTGGACTTCAGCTCCTGTCATCCATGGCCTTTGATAGCTTTGGCTGGGGCTGATGAGAGGTGGAGCCCCACATCATCTGATGAAGCACATGTTTTTCTACCCATGGTATATAGAGCAATGGGGATATCATCAATGCAAAGGCAAAGGAACATAAGATCCCTGGAACCTCAGACCAAAGTCTGCAAAGCCCAGCATTCTTTCTTCAAGCAGGCCTATCATGCGAATCTCACATTCAGATGTGTAACTAGGGGTTGGTGAAACTGGAGCCCAGTGGTGGCAGAGGCCCAGTGTGTGCGCGCGTGCGTGCGCATGTGTGCACACACACAAACAAAAATAACCCCACCTCTCAGACAATGGAGAGTATGTGCTGCTGCTGTCACTGTGAGAGAAGCTTCCCGTCTCGCACCTTGGCACAAAGGCTTGCAAAAAATAAATTAAAATGCCCTTCTTTCTTGCCTTGCCCTTACTCCAGATGTTTCAAGTACTTGGGTTGCATAAAGTGTGTTCTCCCTTATGGAGAGCACAGGTTGCGGGCGGGGCTGACAAGACACCTCACTGTTACTAGGCAAATGGTTTGGCCATCCTGTAAGCAGGGGCTGGCTGTTACTGGGGAAATTTAGATGTTGCCATTTAGTGACTGACAGCCCTATTTGTTAAATATAAGGCACACAGCAACGGACGTCCTCTTTCGCTGCATGCTTCGGATCACCCGCCCTCCCTTCCCTAATGTTAGGCTGTTTGCTTGACCTTGCTATTGCCTGTCATGGGGTCGTCTGCTTTGGGGCAGGGGCCCGGTAGGAATTTTGCCATTTGGCTGATTAGTGTGTGCCACTTGGTTTTCGCCTACCGCGTAGCAAATCGTTACAACTTGTAAGGTTTGCGGTTAGGCATTGGTCTGGAATTGGTTGCTGGGGGGTATGGATTCGGCTGTGCCTGCCCCCCAAAATGCTGCTGTTGGTGGAGGGGTATGGATTCGGCTGTGCCTGCCCCTCCAAAATGCTGCTTCTGCTGCTGCTTAAGGGTTTTACCGTTAAAGGAACCCAGGGGCTCCCCATGCTTTTGTCCGAAACCCCCTGGCAAGGGGCTAGGGCCACGCAAGCCCCTGGAAGCAATCTGGGGAGAGGTGAGGCATGGTTCCCAGTCCCGTCTCTCTCCCCAGGTGACTTACCCTTCCTGACTTCACATTGCTGTATTTGAATAAAGTTGTGGCCAAAATTATGCCAAAAACCTTAAAGAAAAATTAAGTGTCAATTGTGTTTTTCTTTGGGGAGGGATGTCTTGGGGACATTGACGCACAAAATATAGTAGTTTGTAATGTGGCTATTGCAGTAAATATTTTTTTTTTCTGGGGGGAAGCCCAACCAATACAGCTCCCTGTGAAGGGTGCAAGGGACACTGGGTATACCTCTGTCCACATATAGGACATGAGCACAATAGCTCTCTTGTGGTCCTTTACAACTGGTATTCAGAGTGACACTGCCTCTGATACTGAAGGTAATATAGCCATCATCACTAGTAGCCACTGACAAGCAGGTAAAGTGGTAGAAGTCCAAAATGTACTTTAACACATGAGAACACTCCAATGTATTAAATTCCCTTTGCTGGTCCTGGAACACACGACACAAAATATCAGTTTTGATCAGAGAGTGCAAGTAATCTGATGAGTCTCTTGAATGACTTCAAAGAATGTAATTTCAAAATGTTGTGATGCAGTATCAAAAGAACATGGAATGTGTGCTCCCCCAGCCTTATATTTAGAACCAAACTTCATTTGCTTTTTCAATCAGCCAGCCTGACATTCCTTCTCCAGCTAAACCCAGCAGTGTGAGCATATGCCCCAGTCTCCCCCATCCACATGCACACTATTCATTCCTCTTAAAAGGCTTTTAACAAGGCCTACACTTAAATATTCTCTTTTTGGATCCAGTAGGAGCCTTCAAAGCCGATTATCTTGAAAAGGCTATATGAATCTATAGTGAAATATTTATGGTAACTTGTCACCAGCACCTTCATATTGCAATATTTCTTTTTGTTGTCCATCCTTCTTCCTCTGCTTAATGACAGTATTCCAGTAGTAGTGAAGAAGTCCATATGCTGGTAATGATGCTCCACTATCCATGTGATTGGGATATAAGATGGTTCCTGTCATTTTCCTTTCACTCAAAGATGAAGGTGGGTAAAAAGGACTGTCTACTTAAGTATTTATAGGCAGTGTTTATTTTTCCACAACAACAGTGATAACAGCCTGACACATGCCAGGAATATTATTGAAGCAAATTTGCACATTATCTAGAATGGGAAAAAATTATACTGAATAATTCATCTTGCTCTAGCCAGTGGTGTGGCGCTTTGGAGTAATTATTGTGTATAATGACATCACTTATCCTCCTTTCTACAAAGTGGGCTGTATGCAACATTGTCTACTAGTGGAAGGGATCTTGTGCTAGTGATGGGTAAATTTTGATGTTTAAATGTTGCACAACAGAGGAATCAAATACAATGGTCGCACAAGCAGAAACTTGTTGAGCAACAGATTGCACAATCTAATGTGCAACAAAGTAATCAGCAACCTGCTTATGCATTTGTGTGTGTGTGTGCGTGCGTGTGCAACAATGACGTTCTACTTGTGCAAAACATTTTACTAGCAGGATCGGTTTACCGCTCTGTGACTTTAACTTAGTGCTTCATTGGATTCCACCTCTGAAATGTAACTTATGTCCTTGTTATTTGCAGTGATTTTAGCACAACCCTTGAGAAAAAAACTTGAATAAATGGTGGGCTTTCTGTAGGGTGAAGTGTTGTCATGATTCAGTAAATAAATAACAGAAATGGCCATTTCCATTGGTCTGCCTCCACATGGGTGATCTCACTATGCAGTATGTTGGGATGCTCCTAAGTAAATTATTGTGAAGTCAAACCATTTTCTTACATTATTTCAGCACAGAGTTTGAGCAACTGCACAGGAACAAGTTCGGACTGAGTAAAGTATTTTCTGGGGAACATTTTCAGTGTAGGGCGGGGAAAAGAGTTTTTATGGACTTGGGTGAGGGCAAAGTGTTTCTTCAAAGATAATAAAAAGTGTACACTTTCATGACTGTTCACTAATATTTACAGCTTTCTCAGCTAAATGCTTCCATACCGTATTTTAAAATTTTAACTTCCGTCCTCTTTGTAGAAACAACGACATTGTCACATATAATAACTATTGGCCATGTGATGATGTCACATTGTAAAAAGCAAAGTGAATCGAGAGCAGGGGCAAGAAGAATGATGGTTTGAAGTAAAAACTGAGTTGAAGTAAAAAGAGAATTCCAAAGGAGGTCGCAAAATGAGGTCTGGCTATGTGACGATGTCACAGAAGGGGGAAATTAAGGTACATAAGAGTGAAGGCAAAAAGAGTGCCACTTTGAAGGAGCCGGGCAAAAGCTGCCACCAGCTGATTTACAGAGATAATTGCAATAGAGCTCAAAGCAGAGCATGATAGTGAGGTACACGGAAGGTCTTAGTTTTCCTGAACATCTCTCGGGGGCATCTTCTCTTTTCTCTGCTCCCCACTGCAACAACCATAAAAAGCTTTTTTTTAAGGTGCTGATTAGGAATATAAAGCCATAATGGAATGGTTATTATTGGACCTCTTAGCACACAATTCTTTCATAATTTCATCTCTTTTACTCAATGATGCCAGAGAGAGAGAGAGAGAGAGATTGAGAGAGAGACTTAACTCAAAGCTAAATATATGCTTTTGGGCAGCACTCGTGGCTTTGCTGAAAGCCACTTTCCCTTATTGTGAACTTGACTGAAACACAATGGTGAGTGACTGTTCTGCTTTTCTTACTAGGTCTAAATTGAGCCGCTTCTGAAATAAGCAAGAAGAGAATGTCAAGTCTTAAGTGAAAGCAAGTCCCTGAAGAGTGATTTGAAGGTATAGTCTGCTATTAGAGGAAGCCAGATATTAGACATAATAGTAGAGATACCTTTTGAAAGTCTAGGAATGTCTCAATATTTGTGTGCATGTGTGTTGAAGAAAAGTAGAGTTTTTGAAAGGGTTGCACATAATGGGTTGATCTCAGTGAAAAATGTGGGGGCGGGGGACGATGACACACCGGCTAGAATTACCTGGAGGCCTTTGCAGAATCTGTTTCTTGTCACATCTGCTCTTGAAATTCCCATATCTCCCAGCATAAAAAAAAAAAAGTTCCATCTGGGTTTCTTCGAGTTTGCCCAGTAGAACCCCAGATCATGTTTTAATCTTTAATCAATAGTGTATCTTGCCTTCTGGGGGTGTGAATCAGATGTGCAAACTGCAAATGCAGCAAGAACAGCTGCTGGGAGGCTTGGCTAGTTTTGGATAAGAGCAGCGAAGAAGTCTTTGCTTCCTGGGAGAAGTTATTTCTCCATTAACTGAATGTTACTCAGAGCTTTCATATGCTTGATGGTACCTTTCTGAGTAGGTCCTTCCTTCCTTCCTTCCTTCCTTCCTTCCTTCCTTCCTTCCTTCCTTCCTTCCATCTCTCTCGCTCTCTATTTTTTTGTGTGTGCATATGAGAGAGAGAGAGAGAGAGAGTGCACAAATGGAAATATTTCAGAGGGAGGGGGTATTGTTTGAAGTTTCTTGATTATTTCACTCAAGTGAATGACCACATTTGCCTCTGTTTTAACTGTAGCTCTTGATATTATTTTGGTTTTTAACCAGGGCCACATTCCCTTTCAGGCAATCTTCAAACAGCCACCAAACAAACAAACAAACAAATAAATAAATAAATTTGTGTACCTGTATTCATCTGTAGTTCTCAGGGTGGTTCATAGCATATAAATAAGAGATAAAAACACAAAATAAATGCCTGTACACTAGTGGGTGGGGCCGAGGCAAAAGGGGGTGGGACTACTAACATAGATCTTAATATGTATTGGAGGCTAATTTCTGCACATGCTTACTCACTCTTCTCTGTCCTCCATCCAGACAAGTAAGAGGCCTAAATCAGACTTCCAGGACACCTTTCAGTCAGGCAAACATAATCAGGAACATATATTCCTTTGATAATGGAATAGCTCCCACAGAACTTACAAGTGCACCTCCACAAATTTGCTTTAGGGGGTGATTTTAGTAACAATTTTAACATACTGTGGAGGAGTCATATGTAGTGGCTGCATTGAAATGAGCACTATTGTGCTCATGCCCAACTTGTGGGCTTCCCATAGGCATCTAGGTGGCCGTTGTTGAAACAGAACGCTGAACCAGATCAGTCTCTAGTCTGATCAGGCAGGGATCTTTTCTTATCTTTTGTAAATCTTCATATTATTGCCATCAAAATGTAACCAACAATGCGCAACCCTGTTATGGAGAAGCATCATTTGAACTCTTTGGGCATCTTTTCTTCATGAGAATAGGGAAACTGTTGTTGGAACTCACTCTAAAGTGTGCATTATGTCAGTGTAAAGCAGCCTAACTGGCTTCAGTGCCAGCCCATTGCTTTACTTTGAGCCATGTCTTACCAACAATCTCTTTCCAGGAATTGTGCTTGTCCCCATAAAGTCAAAGAATTCAAGAGAAGCAGAGAAGGGGGTGCTGGATACTGCCGCTTCTGTTGGAAAAGGGGTGTGGTTTAAACAGCCTGGTCACCACGCCCCTTCCCAGTGTCCCCTGCTCCTTTCCCTGCAAGGGTTCAGGTGAGTGCAAAAAGGCCTTGGGGTGCAGCAATCTTTGGGGAGGGGCTGGGGGAGGATGCAATGCTAGGGAACAGAAAGTCACATAATGCACTCCAAAAACAGAAATTTTGAAACCATTTCAGCACTGTGTCATTTTTCTATTTTTCTGCATCTCTTATCTGAACTATGTACTTGCAGTTTCTTTGAGTATGTTTTTTCCAATTTATTTTTATTTGGTAGCCATTTCTCCCTTTCCGAGGAAGGAACAAAAACATTTGAAGACTCAGTGTCCCTGACTTAAGGGTCTGACTCCTCTGCCCTGCCTACCAAGCGCTCACTGGCTGGTGTGCCTTTCACTGTAGGGAGATCAGAAGAGGACCGCTACATTGGCAGAAGCCTAAGCAGCCACGAGCTTGCTATTCAGACACAAGGATATTGTTTTAGTCATTTATTCTTATTTTTAATTACTTGGCACCACAGGCAGCTCTCTCAAAAAATGGCAAAGGCTACAATCCCACCTACATGGGAGGAAGCCCCACTGAATTCAGTAGGACTTACTTCCAAGTAGACATGGGTGCAGCAGTGCTGCAAGGATCTCTCTTGGAAGTCCCAGTAAATAAACTGCCACAGCGGCCGGATTAAACTGACTTGTGCAAAAACTGCAAGGTTAGGATTAGGGGTAGGATTAGGGGTAGGGGTAGTGGTAGGGGTAGGTTTTTTTAGGGTTGAATTTGTTGAGGGTTTTTTTTTTTTTTTTAGGATTTTACCCCAGGAAATAAATAAACTGCCACAGGGGCCGGATTAAACTGACCAGTAGGCTGGATTAGGCCCCCAAAACGGACTTTGGACATGCCTGATATGCGCTTAGTCAAGCGTCATTATCTTTAGTGGGCTTAGTTGTGACTTACTCCAGAATAAATAGGAGAGAAAAGAAAGGAATTGTGTTTTGAGATCTGATCATGAGCAGATCTTTATTTCTGAGAGGCAGCATTTATATTAATGCTTGGAGAATTGACATTTACGTGGGGAGGCTCATTGAGGTTGCTATCACCCATCTGTGACATAAGAAGACATATTTCTTGAAAGCTTAAGTAAGAGGTGCCAAGGTTCCCACTTGACCTCTGATCAGGATGCTCTTTTCTATATTCTTAGATGCTTGGTAACTGTGGATCATCAAGTCAATTTCCAAGGGAAAGAAAGTGGTCACGTGTTCAGTTATGGAAAACTTAATAAATATTTCATACAAAAATAAATAAAATAAATACTCAATGACCTGCCTTTCAAGTAAGTGGAAATGAAGCAGTTGGTTGCCATGGTGAAATTATGATGACACTGTCACTCTGTAGTCTCACTGCTGAAGTCATAAGTCAGATTCAAGGAGGGGGGGGGTTGCCCCCAAGGCCCTGCCTACCAGTTAACAGTCACCTAACGTTTTCCAGTAAAACATGAAATGGTGCACACGCTACATCTTGTTTGTTGGACAGGGTTACAGTCAAAGAGTTCAAGAGTAGCAGAGAAGGGGGTGCTGGATGTCCGGAGTTTCTTTCTTTCTTTTTTTTAATTGATTTTAATTCGTTTTGCTACATCAAACATTAAAACAAACGAAAGAAACATACATAACACATACATACAAAAAAGAAATACATAAAAAAGAGAAATAATAATAAAGAAAACAAAAGAAAAAGCATCTAAAATAAGATACCAACAAATTAGGTTACATTTACTAAATAACACACAACACTAATTGACTTCCCTTCATCTCGGTTTCAGAATATATTATATGATTTTTTTATCTGCAGTTTCTTTTCCTCAAAAAACTCTTTACATCACAAGTGTTATGTCACACCTACTGTGATTTTTAGATTTTTTACCTCTGTTTCCATGTATGTCATAAATTTATTCCATTCTTTGTTAAACTTTATGTCTTTTTGATTTCTTATTTTCTGTGTCATTTTTGCCAATTCTAAATAATCAAATAGTTTGGATTGCCACTCGTTTATAGTTGGGATTTTTGATGTCTTCCAATTCTGCGCTATTAGAGTTCTAGCAGCTACTGTCGTGTACTGAAAGAGTGTTTGATCTTCCTTTTTGATTTCCTCTCCAATTATCCCCAGGAAAAAGGCTTCGGGTTTTTTTTTTATAAAGGTATATTTAAAGATTTTGTTTAGTTCATTGTAAATAGATTCCCAGAATTTTTGATAGGCTCACACAACCACCGCATATGATAAAAATCGCCCTCCTTGATCTTACACTTCCAACATAATTTATCACCAGTTTTATATATTTTTTCCAATTTTACGGGCGTTACGTACCACCTGTACATCATTTTATACATATTTTCCCTGAGTGTTGTGCATGCTGAGAATCTCATACCTTTGTTCCATAATGCCTTCCATTTGTCAAACTCTATATTATGTCCAAAGTCCATTGCCTATCTCACCATTACCTCCTTTACTTCTTCATCCTTGGTGTCCCATTCAAGTAATAGGCTGTACATTTTCGATAGGAGTTTTGTTTTATTTTCTAATATTTCAATCTGGAATCTAGATTTTTTCTCACTTATCCCATTCTTTTTATCTTCAGTCCATATAGAATTAATTTGGTGAAATTGGATCCATCCTGTCAATTTGTTCTTTATTTCTTCATAAGGCCTAATCCTCCAACCAGTCTCTGTTTTTACTAGCAAGTCTTCATAGGTCCATCTTTCTCCTTCAATGTTTGTTTTTTTTATTGTCAGGATATCAACTGGCGATAGCCACCAAGGGGTCTTCTGTTCCAACAATTTTTTGTTTCTTTCCCACACTTCCAGCAGTGGTCCTCTAAAAATGTGGTTAGAAAAACCTTTATGAACCTTTCCCTTGTTACGCCATAGGTAAGCGTGCCAACCAAATCTTATATTAAATCCTTCTAGATCTAACAGGTCTTTATTTTTAATAACAATCCAATCTTTGACCCAACAAAGACACGAGGCTTCGTAATACAACTTTAAATTTGGAACTGCGAATCCTCCCCTATCTCTTTGATCTGTAAGTAATTTGAATCTAATTCTGGGCCTTTTCCCTTGCCAGATAAATTTAGAGAGTATTTTCTGCCAATCTTTGAATACTGAGGTTCCCCTGATTATTGGTATATTTTGGAATAGGAATAACAGTTTCGGTAGTAAACTCATTTTAATCGCCGCCATTCTGCCCGACCAAGAAAGTTTTATTCTATTCCAAGTATCTAAGTCCTTCCTTATTTCTTTCCATGTGGTTATGTAATTATCTTCCATCAAAT